AAATTTAAAAATGATATATTTTAGTTATGATATTATGTCATTTTGTTTAATAAATAACTTTTTTTTGTATTTGAGAAGAGCTTTCAGATTAATAGAAAAAGAAGCTTGATCGAAATGAATAATAATTTTCATTAATAATTTCGAATTGGATCAGTTTCTTCTTAACAAATTAGTAAATGCTTAGGTCAAAAAAATTCTGATTAATGACGAGATAGTTGAAAAAGGGTAACACCAATAGAATTTTTTATTACAAAATAAATGAATCAGAAAAGATAATTTTTTTTATAAATTTTTTTTGAATGTCCTATTAAAAATAGAGTTTGTGCTTGTAAAAATTATCGAGTGATCAGAAATAAAAAAATAAAAATATAATTATTCTTAGCCATCACAATCTTAGAGCATGTTGTATGTCCTATTCATTTAGGTTTTCTATGCTAATTAGTCAAAGCATATTATCTTTTAAAAAAAGTTACCAAGGATAAAATAAGAAAACATATTCAATTTTATCTTAATTATTTAAAAGGACAATTATTTTTATTTAAACGATAATAAAATAATTCGAAGAGATTACAAATTAACGCACAAAGTTTTCATTGAAGAAAAAAAGCAACTATGAAGGGAAAAAAAGATGTGGGGTAATTCCCTCAAATTATAGTCTATGATTATACATTTATTATTTATAATTATACCTTTTGGTGGTCTTAATTTATTTTTTTCTATTTTAGTAGTCTTAGTTTTAGTGATAAACTTACCTAAACATATTCAATCTTGACAGGACAAGAAATAAATTATATTCAAATAAACCCGCAATATCATAATAATTAATTAGATAAGGAAAAAGTAAAGGCAAGACTTTTCGTATATAATAAATAAAACATTATAATAATTCTCGCTATAATTGGAGTACTTTTAGTTTTATATAATAATAGTGGTAATCTTTTTAAAATCTAACAAGTTTTATTTAAATTTATTTTACTTTTTAAATAGTGCGAGTCAATGTTGATTATGAATTTAATCGAATTCAGTAATTTTGGTTTAAATTTTGAATTTACAACAAGAAATTTTAGTGAATATATACAAATCATTAAAAGAATCAAAATTTCAAATTTATAAATTTTAAATTCTGATTCTACTTCTGTTTAAAAATAAATAATTAGATAGTGATTTTGAGATGTGCAACGATAATAACGATTTGACCGAGTAAGTCACTTTTTAAAAAATTAATTAACACCTCACATTCCCCTAGTTTGCTTTGGAGAGCTCAATGCAATCTTGTCTTAGAGGTTTTTGGTCTTTATATAAAACGTGACCAAAAAAAAAATTATATTTGTACTTCAATTGTAAAATAATATGTATAGGCTACTTGGAGTTTAGAGTTGAAAAGGTTTTTATTTTGTTTTTTTATTAAAACATAGTACTTAAATTTTTTGAAAATTATCCACGATAGTAAATATTGGACCTAGATTTGTTGATGGATCTGGTCTTGTCGAACAGGTTCGAATTCGAGGTTCGAACATAAAACCCCACTAACCGAGCTGAACTAGTTAGTGATGAAGCAATTTCCACGAACTGAGAACAAAAGGATGTACTTGTCCCCTTCCCCAGCCATTACCGCTCATCCACCCCTTTTTATGTTGAATTTTTTTTAATTATTATTTATTTGAAAATTACATCAAGGGAGGTACGAAATTGGAAGCTGGATGGATGTTATGTTATATTGATAGGATTTGTACAATTCATCTCTAAGTTGTTTCTAAGAGGACATTATTTTAGGACGTTATTTTAGCTTGAGAGATAAGTTATTATTTCGAAACTAAACTGAGGATTAGTTTATACCATATTTAATAGAATTTTTTTATTCCGAGCTAGGTATTTTTAAAATTATGTACACTTGAAATGTGATATTAGCAATCCTTGTATTAAACACCAAATGAACATTTTTGCCCCTATTCCAAATTCCTTTCGTCAAGGTTAAAATTAAAATTAACTTGAGCTAGAGATTTTATAAATTATTTACAGTCTATTTACAGTGTATTAAACACCAAATGGACATTTTTGCCCCTATTCCAAAGTCCTTTCGTCAATGTTAAAATTAAAATTAAAAATAAAAATTCTATCTCATTTTCTCTAATTAAATTAAACACATATTTTTTTATCGTACGACGTACCTATGCAGTTCATGAAACCACCCAAATTAGTGCAAGTAATATAATTGTTGTACTAGAATCATTTTTTTTTTACATAAGTTTAATTTATTGGTTACTTAATTGCTGAGGTAATTGATTAATTAATAAATAACCAACTAGGTTGAAGCTTTTTAAGTTTGAATTAGTCTACAACTACACCTTTTTTAAGCAACAATTGTAGATTTGATGTCAACAATTGGTATGATGAAGTTAGAAAGGTACCTTTTGAATTAACTTTTTAGACTTGAATTTTCTATGAAAATGATCTATCATCATGCTCCTTTCTTTACCTTATATACTATTTTTTTTTAATAATATAAAAATATTATGTCAACATCTAAAAGATTCTTTTTAATTTATTTAATGTTTAAAGTATACAAACCTAACAAATAACCTGCCTGCCCCTTTTCTCTTCTGTATTGATATAGACTTACCAAAATATAAAAAAGACCATCTTTTTATGTCACATATAATGGACACAACTTATAAGGTCAACAATTTCAGCTTCCCTATTTTATTTTCCTTTTTTTTAAAAAAAATAAAATCTAAATTGATTTTAATATTATTCTCTTCCCAAAAATATAATGTCCTCCTTTATACCATAGGTCTTAAAATTTAATGATGGACAAACTTTTATAAGTAATAGTAAAACTTTGTTGCTGATTCTATTTAATGAATCATTAAAAAAAATTGATAGTAATGAGCTATTAATTAGTGTCAAATTAACAAGGAGTATATGTTATAGCTAATTTTCTTTTTTTTAATGATGCAATAGGAGAATTCATGGTTATGTTAGTTCTTAATCACGGTCTCAAGTGAATTACGATTAACAAATAAAAAAATAATAAAAATTGCACAAGAATAGAAATGGAATGGGATGTCGATGGAAAATAAGACGTAGACGTGAAGGATACTGAAAGTAGATCAACCATCTTACTTTATGTTTGTGTTTTTTTATCTGCTCTGCTCTACATAGTCTTGAAGTTAATATGCTCTAATTTTTTTTTTTATTATGAATATACAGTAGATCTATGTATCATATAATTAATATAAATTCATGAATATATAAATATATATTTGTCACTTAATTTTTGTCTGTCTTCTGATATATATGTCTGAATGTCCCTCTAAAAAAACATGCCACACACAGCATAAGTGGAATAATTTCATACCTTTTTAGCTAGAGTAACATGTAGATGCCTTTAATTTGTCATTGGACTCAACAACAAAAAAAAAATAATTAATTGATCAATCATTTCATTTCCCCACACTACTAAATATAGACTCACAAATTAATAATTATGTGTGCATGTGTTTTTTAATTTCTTCTCCTTTTTTATATAATATATGGATCATGCATGAAGGGGAATTTGCAAGTGTCACGCTTTCTCAAAAGTTATATAATTAATTAGCTCTTAATAATAGTAATTACGTAATTTATTTGGGTTTTGATGATTGATTAGTCTCCATAAGGCTATAACTACACTCATAATATGATTAAGTCATATTTTTCTTAAACATATTGTGTATTATGCATTTGAAAATTTGACAAGGACATATATCTATATTTATTTTTGTATTCTTTCTCTATAAATAATGGGCATGACGTGGTAATTGTTTATTCGATGGCTTTTTTCATTTAGATAGGTTGTTGGATGAAGAGGATTAATTAATGGAATATTATAGAGAGAAATCATTTTTCTTCGTGATTAATAATTTTTCCTCTATTTGCAGTCTGCATAAAGCTTCGACTAAATGTGAATCACGCATTGCAAATTCCATTCAGAAGTGATGCTCTCAATAAAATTTTCTCCATATCCAAAATTTCAATTTAAAACCTCTGATAAAATTATCTCACCACTAAATGACAATCGATGTTGGACTTGTATTAATTCATTCTCTCACCCAAGAGAATGGGGGTAGGTAAAATGGAGGGGTGGGTGGTTAGTAATTGGATTATGGCATCATGAATGAATCACCATGTATGTATTAATTTTCTCCTCACGATACTTTTACTACTAGAAACAAAAGTTTTTTAAATTTTCTCTATGACATGAATTAATTCATTGGAATAACACATGATGCGAAACATATTCTAAATATAAGAAGACTTTCTAATTTTTTTTTGTATAAAAATACTATTTTATTCCTATTCTCGATGATTCTTTTAAAATATATGAAAAACACTAATAATAAAGAATTTCAACGATTAAATAGTAATTTTTTAATAGTGTTCCTGCGATATTTTAACTTGTCCGTTAAAGCATGTGCGTTAATTTGATGCTGTTCCCCAAAGCAATATTCACGAAATAAAATTATTGTTATTACAATCTCAAGTATTATAGTCAAATATATTTTGGTATATGTTTGGTAGGGTGACTAATTTAAGGGCCAAAGCTAATGTGACACATTATATTTTTTTCTATTCCATCTACAAAAATTAGCAACTAAAAAAAATGAGGAAATGAGGAATTGTCCTCTTTTTTTAAAAAAAATAAATAAATAAGTGAAATGATATATACAATAGTATAAAACATGAAAGGAAATGATTATATGAGAGGACCAAAAAAAGTTGTTGTTATCCATCTAATCGAACACGACAGTTTCTAGTGGTTCGATTTATCAAATTTGATATTTATATCAAATTAATAAATATAATATATTTTTATTTTTGTATCAATTAATTAGGAGATATTTAAATTTGATGTATGCCTTAATTATCATAACTAGTATGATTTGATATAAATATTAAATATAAATAAATTTATTTTATATATATATATTCAATCCAACCCATCCTTACTTTTTTTAAAAAAAAAATTGAACCATTTTTCGATTTGTGCATGTCATTCTTGCGCAGACACTATGTTAATCTTCTCTATATCGTTTTAATTTTATTGAATGTACCCAAAGGGACTACTTGGCTCCATTGACATCCCTATGTATTTTTTGTTGGGCAACTTTCACATATAGCAAATAAAAAATTTATATTTGTATGCTATAGCAAAGTTTGCATAATTGCGCTCCATAGCAAATGTAGAAACTGTATAATTCGCTATACATATACAGTTGAAGCAAATTGTATAAAACGAAGTGTATAAAATAAGAAAGAGAAAGACACTTGGGCAGAGAATTGTATAAAAAACGAAGTGTATAAAACGAATTGTATTATTATAAGTGTATAGAACGATTATATACAATTTGAATTTGTATAAAATGAGAAAGAGAGAAAGACAAAAGAGATTTGACAAGGAATATTACAATTGATTCGAATTGTATAAAACGAGAAAGGGAGAAATTAGATACAATTTGAAAATTGTATAAAACGAGAAAGAGAGAAAGGCAAAAGAAACTGGCAGGGGAGTATTTTTATTGCATAATTATAAGTGTATAGGACGAAAATATATGCACTTGCATGTGTATTTACAATTTTCTCACGCTTTATACAAACAGAAACTCAATTTATATATTTCGCTTCTGTTTGTATAAGTGAGAAAGGCGAGAGTGGCGAGCGAGATCTGGAAGAGGGGAGAGAAGGGAACAAAAATATATGTATTTATACAATTTTCTCTGTTTTTATACAATTAGAAATAATTTTTATACACTTGTGTTTGTATAAAAAGTGAGGAAGCAAGCGAGAGATTGGAAGAGAGTGGCGAGCGAGATATTTGGGAGAGAGGCGCCTGACAATTTTTTGCAAACGTTTGCTATGGAACACAATTAAATCAAACCCTAGATACTCCATTTATTTTAAGTTATTAGTTTGCTATTATATACAATTTTCTCTTTTTTATTTGTTATAGACTAAAAGTCAACTTTCTTTTCATTCAATTATTTGATATTCAAAATTTATTGGATGCTGACTTAACTAATTCGTATTCAGGACGCATAAAATACAGTAAAGATAAACTCACTATATTTTTAATGATCTTTAGTGTTAGTTACTTAATGAAAATAACTTGATTGTTGTTAAATATGTTTTTTTTTAGCAATTATAACAATTTTTTTTTGTAAATGTCTCTAAGATTTAATATATATAGCGATATTGTATTTGATATCGATAAAAACTTTAATACTTTTTATGAATAATATATTTTACTGCTAAAATTTATTTTCGTTAATGTAAATTTTTCTCATGAAAAAACTTTTTTCCATTATAAGGACTATCCAACTAAATATACAACTAGTAAAAGTAGGATGGAGTTTGGCAAATTAGATGTCAAAGCACAAAAAGGGTGGGTAGATAAGATAAGGCAATATTTTTTCCAAAGTCTTTTAACTTTAACTACTATTTGTTCTTTGCTTTAATATTGACTATTTATATATACATTTTTTTCTAGAATTCATTGTCATTTTTGAAGGTGATACCTAGGTTGTTTCCTATCTTAGCTCTCAATAATTTGTTTCCTAGTCTATATTCAAACTCTCATAAAGTTACAATTATTTTTCTTTTTCAACTCATCATTTATAATGTAAAAGGGATACATTGCTACATGCATGTTATACATTATTTTTGCTTTTTGGATGTCTCACTTTTTATTGTTAATCATCAACTTATAAAAGTTTATATTCTCATTTAAACTAAAATAACACATTAATTTTCATATAAATATTCCTAAAACTTTTTAAGAGGTTAAAATTGGAATATAATTTCACATCTTCCATATATAACCATGAGGACCTCATGGATTCTTTCAAATTAATATATATACCGGTCATGTCCTTTCAATATTTGCTAGGTAGGCAAATGATGGAAAAATTGGAATAAAACAATGAGGGAATTAATTTTAATTATATTATGTCAATTAAACATTGAATAGATTGAGAAGAAGAATTAATACTACCACTATTGCTACATTGAAATAATACAAGAAAAAAGAAAGTCAACATTTCAACTCTATATAATTATACTATAAGAAAAGATTCTCTTCTACTAGGTCTAACTTTGGTCTATAATAATATTTTTAGTGGTAGAATAAAATTAAATTTGTACCTAACTTAATCTAAACCTAAGAATTTATTTCGTTTGGGTATGTCGGACTAATAAATAGATAGTAGCACTAATTAACAAATAAATTATAGAGATAGGATTAGGGAAATAGCTAAGGTGTATAAATTTATTTCGTCCAATCTATTCATGTTTTGTCTGGTGATATAATAGCGAAAAAAACATCAATAGTCCATTCGATAAGAAATCGAATTCTATTATTGATCCACTCAAATTATGCTTATCTTGTTTAATAATATAATAGTCAGATAAATACCAATAATTTGTTGAGTATGAAATATGTTGTTATTAAAAGATAATACGTGTATGATGCTAAATACTATTATAATAGTACTAATTAACAAATAAATTATTGATATAGCATTAGCATAGTAGCTATGGTGTACAATTTTGCATGACACACTCACCCATAATATTTTTTTATTTTTTTTTGTAATTTGATAAAATATTGTCACAATCTTGCCGCAATTTTAGCGGCATTTGTAAGGATATATATATATCCCATTGGATTGAGTAAAGAAATGGAAATAAATTCAACTTTAATCAAAGAGGTCAATTATATAATTTAATTAAATTAGTTGAACATGAGATTATTTAATTGTAAAAAGAAGTGCTTAGGTAAAGGTCAAAGACACAGTTCTTTTTTGTTTGTGTATAATATAATATATTATACAAAGACAAAGTCGTAAATTATGTGAATTATTTTAAAGGGATGTGTTTTTACAATGAATTGGTTTACTTGTTCTTTGTTGTTTCACTTAAATTGGAGAATATAATGTCTTTACGTAAGAAAAATATTTCAATGTATATCAAATATTATATGTTGTGTGAAATTATGATAATTTTATTAATTGAGTATCTGAATTTTTATCTTATTTTTGAAAGTCAATTTTATGTATTTATTTCCGTGATTTGTGAGTTAGATTATATTGGTGTTATTTTTTTAATCAAATAATGTTTTTAGCTTATTTTTTTTTCTTCAATAATTTTTTATACAATTAAACTTTTCATGTGCCGCACAATTATGAAAATGCCTACCCACGACAAAAGGAAAATAAATACTTTAAATAGCATGCTAACAAAACAAAAAGGAATAATAAGGACTAACTAAAAATGAAATGTGGTCCTTCATTTTTATTTTCAGTTATTCAATAATGTCTATATTTTAAACCGGTTTCATACTTCAAATCACTTTAATATATACATCTTATTAAGGACTTTGAATCAACCTAAAATTATTTGTACTTTTACATAAATATAAAATATATATAACTTTCTTTATATTAAAACTTCATATTAACATAAGTATTTATAACTTATTTCTACTGGAAATATATTTCATATATACAAAAACTTATTTCAATCGATGAAATTACCTATAAATTCCTATCGAAAATTGACGTATACTCATTATTTTTACATAAAAAATCTTCCAACCAATGAAATTAACAACGAATTTCTATCGAAAATCATGCAAACTCGTTATTTTTCGACGAAATCGATCGTTAAAAATCGTAAAAGCATACTACTAACATATAGACGGAGAAGGGGGGGGCCTAGAAAAAGACTAAATCAAAGGTACGTGGTCCAAAAATTTAATTTTTATGTGGCTATCACATAATTTAATTTGTTTCATGTATTCAAGTCATAATAATAAATGTTGTCCACTCAATATTATCTTAGCTTATTCTTGTTGGCAATTTTTCATCCTCTTATCTTAGGATAGTAGGATGGATATATACAAAATTATACTTTTTTTCTTGTGTGTTACTGTCTACTATTGTTCACTAAGCTGAAAATTCTACACCAATAAACACCTTTTAAAGGCTAAGGCCTATTTGCACTATAAAAGGAACTTATATTAAATTTTTGAAAATTTCAACTTGTTTGATTGAAAAAGAAAATAAGAATATCTTTTACAAAACAAAAATGAACAATTAAAAAATCGAATAATTTGAGAGACCACAACAATCCTTCCAGAAAGAAAAATGAGAATAAAAGGAAATTACGTATATTTTGTGACAATCAATTTCACTTTTTCTTTTTAACATTTTAGGCACAAGCACTTTGAAATATCAGTTTTATCTTCGAATAATTAATAGCTTTAAAAATATTTATTTAATTAATTAAATTTAAATACATGAGTAATATACATTTCTTAATTCTTATCAAGTTTAGGGATATCTTCAATACTTTTCTCAACTCTTTATTAAGAGTCACATGTTTTTACAAAAATTTGATATCATTTGCTATGTCAATGTGACAGATTAGAGGTATATCTAAGTTTAATTAGTCAACTAGAAAAGTTTTTAAAATAGTTTGGAAACAAAACTAATAACTTACGTCAAACAATATTTGTAATTCTTTCTCTTGATATTTAAGAGAACTCTTAAAACATAAACAGTAGATGAGAAAAGGCGTTGCTCATCTCTTAAATAGAGGTCTCAATTAGACTAGATTAAGGAAAATGAGGCAATTTTCCATGAATAAAACTCTATACGATATGAATTCAAAATAATCAATCTCCAGTATAAAAATCACGTAAAAAAATGACAATCAAACATTCATGCTATACAAAGCTTATTATAGGGTAAGATCGAGATGGAGTGGCGTTACAGCTCTCTCTTTACCGAAAGAGACATCATTTTAACTCCGGATCGAGTTCTTTTAATAAACGTTATAGTTATAAAGAGATTTGACTATATATAATAACGAGATCAAAGACACGTGAGTGTCCCATGGTAGAAAAGAGAGTGACGTGGGTTGGATATGAGTAAAAAAGACAGCTATAGTAGAAAACCAAAGAACAGAAGCCACGTGGGAAGTACATGTGTCGGCTACGGTCAAATGCCGGTGCCAAGTAGGGACACGTGTTTCAGTATATTAGTTTCCAAATGGCCCAAATGTTT